TTGGCCCTGGCCAGTGTGGCTCAGTGGACAGAGCATTGGCCCATGGACTGAAGGGTCTCAGGTTCGATTCTGGTCAAGGGCCCGTACCTTGGTTGCATGTTCCTGGGCCCTGGTTGGGGTGCATGCAGGAGGCAACCAATCGATGTGTCTCTCTCACATCGATGTTTCTCTTTGTCTCTCCCTCTCCCTTCCACTCTCTCTAAAAATCAATAGAAAAATAACCTCGAGTGAGGATTAGCAACAACAAAAAATAAAAACAAAAAAAATCAATTGACCATATTTAGCTGATTCTATTTCTGGGCCCTTTTCTCCGTTCCACTGATCTGTGTACCTTCTGCTGCTGGGATAACGTGGCTCTATAGTAAGTCTTGAAATAAAGTCCTCTGAGTTCATCTACTTTGCTGTTCTTTTTCTAACCATTTTGGCTAGACTTGGTCCTTTGTCTTTGCGTATATACGTTGGAACCATCTTGTCTATATGTATAAAAATTCCTGCTAGGATTTTGATTAGGGTGGTGTTGAATCCAGACACCAATGGGGGAAGCATTCACATCTTAACATCAAATCTTCCAGCTTATGGCCACGGTATTTCTCTGCATTTATTTAGCTATTCTTAGATTTATTTCATCAATATTTTATTATTTGTAGGATATAGATCACATACATATTTTGTTAGATTTATACTTACTGTTTTATATGTTGGTGCTCTTGTAATTAGGACTTTTTATGAATTCCAATTGTTTATTGCTTGCGTATAGAAATACCATTCCTTTTTTTAATATATTTTAAGTATGATGTTAGCTCTGGGCTGTTTGTTTGTTGTTTTTGTAGATGTTCTTCATCAGATTTGGGGAGCGCCCTTCCAGGTACAGTTTGCTAAGAGTTTTTACCAGGAATGTGTGTTTAGTTCTCTTAAATGCGTTTTCTGCATCTATCGATGTGACCATGCATGGCTCCCTCTGACTTCTGCTAGTGTGGTGGGTGAATCACAGCAATTGGTTTTTAATGTGGAGGCAGCCTGCATCCTTTTTACATATTTTAAAAATATTGGATTCTCTTTGCCAATATCTGTGTCTAGTTTTCGTCTGTGTGTCATCGGGACAGTGACCTGCCGTTTCCTGTCAGATCTTGGACTTCGGGGCCGGGTGATGCCGGCATCATCAGCGCGATGTGTTCCGTAAAATGAGGTGGAAAGTGTCCTCTTCTACTTTCCGGGAGAGACTGTGTAGAATCGGTATGACCCTTCCTTACATTTTTGGTGGAATTTGCCAGTGAAACCACTTGGAGATTCCTTTTTTCAGGATATTTTTGCCTCAGTCCTGCCCACCATGGTCCCAGGGACAGTTCCGACTAGCAGCCTGGGCACTGGCTCGGGTGTGTGGGTGCGTCTGGGCCTGGGCAGGTGTGTCTTAGCTCCTTTCTCGGAGCCTTTACTACGCCCGTCTTTGGGGGCTCCCCTGCACACGTGGCTTGGAGCGAGCCCAGACCCTGTGCAGGTTCATACACCCAGCAGGGTCCCCTTTGCCAGCTTCCCCGCCCCACCGCCTTCCTGGGCACTGGCTCCCAGGGGCCTTCTGTCCCGGGGCTCCGGCTAGAAAGTCCGTGTTTCTGTCAACTCAATTCTCCCTCACTGCCTGCCTCAGGGCTCTGTCCTGCCACATGCCCACGGGGAAAACAGGAGAGAAAAGAGAAAGGAAGGGGAACTCCACACTCTTCCAGTGATGGGGCCCTTTCCTCCGCTCGTCTGGCCAGAGCGAGGGTTTCTCTTGCATTTTAGGGTCCCGGGACCCACCACCATCGCTGCCACAGAAGCACAGCCCAGCGGCTGAAGCTAACCTTGGGGAGGGGCTGGAGAGAGAAAAGAGAAAAAGGAAAGGAATTGGAGATTCCCCCCAAACTCTCCGCCCCAGGAGCCCGTCCTCTCAGTCCTCTGTGGAGAAAGAGGGGGTTCCTCTAGGGCCGTGGTCGGCAAACCACGGCTCGCAAGCCACATGCGGCTCTTTGGCCCCTTGAGTGTGGCTCTTCCACAAAATACCACGTGCGGGCGGGCACGTACAGTGCGATTGAAACTTCATGGCCCATGCGCAGAAGTCAGTATTTTGTGGAAGAGCCACACTCAAGGGGCATGTGGCTGGCGAGCCGCGGTTTGCTGACCACTGCTCTAGGGCTTTGGCTGTGGGAGCTGGGGGATAAGCAGGGAGGCCCAGGATGCCCGCCCGCCCGCCCGTCTCTCGTCAGGGTTTCTGCTCCCTCCAGCCCACTCCGCTGGCTGCCCACGCGAGGCTCAGCCCCGGTGCCTTGTGCAGGGGTCCTAGCTGCTCTCTGCTGGGCTCCACCCGCCCCTGGCAGGCAGCAAAGGCCTTTTCAGTGCGTTTCCACTTCTTCCTGAGGATCCCCTGGGTCTGGGCTGAAATCCTCACTGTTTAGACAGGAAGCAGACCCAGCAGAGGCCCATCCAGCAGGCACAGCGGGGGCCGGAGCCAGGACTGCCTGTCCTCCTGGGGGGCATCTGCCCCTCCCCGCCCTGTGGTCCCTCCCTCCTGGGTCCAGAGCCCAGAGACCATGTCAGCGCCAGCGGGCTGCAGGGTGGTCCACGCCCCCTCCTCACTCCAGGAGCCTGTGCTGACCAGTGAGGCAGGAATGGAAGCCCTGCCTGCCTCTCCCCTGAGGCTCCGCCCTCACCTGCAGACCCGGTCAGGGGATCGCCCTGGATTGCCCTTTATCTTCTGGGGAACTTCCACTTCTTTCCTCTTGTTCCCAACGGAATTCATTTAAAATTAGCCAGATCCAGCCTGGCCGGTGTGGCTCAGTGGTTGAGCATCAGCCTATGAACCTGGAGGTCACGGTTCAATCCCCGGTCAGGGCACGTGCCCGGGTTGTGGGTTCAATCCCCAGTGTGGTGTGTGCAGAAGACAGCTGATCAATGATTCTCTCATCATTGATGTTTCTCTCTCTCTCCCCCTCTCCCTTCTTCTCTGAAATCAATAAAAATAAATTTTTAAAAATAAAAATTGAATTAAATTAACAAGGTCCAAAAGGGGGAAATGGAGAAAATCAAAAGAACTCCACAAGGGGGAGGCCCCGAGTGGCCAGCAGGTCGGGAGCCCCGAGGGGACAGCAGGTCGGGAGCCCCGAGTGGCCAGCAGATCGGGAGCCCCGAGTGGACAGCAGGCCGGGAGCCCCGAGGGGACAGCAGGCCGGGAGCCCCGAGGGGACAGCAGGCTGGACTCTGTGCCTGGGTTCCTGGGCGCCTGCCAGGACAGCGAGGCTGGTACTTAGAGCTGCGGCTCAGCCCTGGACATTACCGTCGGCCCAGGTTTCAGACTCGGGAGCACGTCTCGTCCCTGCAGCACCTCCGGGGTGGTCCCCACTATCACCCTCTTTATAGACAGGGAAATCGGGGCCCAGAGAGGGCCAGTCCCTTGGCCATGTCACACAGCCCGAACGGACAGCACGGGCCCAGCCTCCTGCCTGGCTCTTCAAGCCCAAGGAATTATCCCCGACTCACGCTGCCGTGTGCATGAGCCCCCTTCCTCCTTATCTCTTCAAGTGCACGGGGTGCCATTTTATGACGTGTTTAAGTCTGCATTCCTTTTCAAGGTGGAGGCCTTCAAGGTCAGAGGTCAGGGTTGCCCTTGGCATCCCTAGTGTCTGTGGGATGAGTACTGAGTGGGCGGATGGCACTCGGGTCTCTCCGCCTGTAGGTGTGGGTCATGGAGACCTCGCGAGAATTTAGCGATACAGGAATTACCTGACCACGTCTGTGGGCTGGCTCGAGGCAGCCCTGGTGTTTTCTGATGAATGAGGTCACCAGAGAGCCCGGCCCCGGCTGGTGTGCTCTGACCAGACAAACTGAGGGCGTGGTCCCTGCAACAGATTCGAAGTTGCAGCTGGTTCTCAGGTCGGCCTCCCAGCGCTGCCAGCTTTCGTTGCAAATAGCAACACAGGACACCCAGTTACACTTGAGTGGCAGAGCACTGATTAAAGATAAGTATAAATTTTTAAAAGTATATTTTTATTGCTTTCAGAGAGGAAGGAAGAGCAGAGATAGAAACATCAGTGATAAGAGAGAATCCTTGATCGGCTGCCTCCTGCATGCCCCTTATGGGGATCGAGCCCACAGCCCAGGCATGTGATCTGATCTGTAATGGAACCAGTGACCTCCTGGTTCATGGGTCTGACACCCAACCACTGAGCCACACTGGCTGGGCAAGTATCAATTTTTACCAAATTTGGGGTATATTTGTACTAAAAAATATTTTGCTGTTTATCTGAGTTCAGATTTCACTGGGTGTCCAGCTTTTTCTCCGAGGCTTCATCTCAGGGTTTATCTGACAGTCCTCGCCCTCCAGGCTCCCCGCTTTGGGCCATCTGTGACCGACAGCTGCCGTCTCAGGGCCTGGCAAGGACTTCTGACCACTGGCCTTCACCCTGGGGTCACTCCCTAGAGGGCGAGGCTCGGAGAGGGGGGCAAGGCTCCGGTGGGGCCAGAACCCTGGTCTCCTGGCTCCTAGGTGGCCAGGAACAAGACGCACGTTTTCACTCCCGTACAAATTTAACTTTATAACCCACAGCCCAGGAGCACACGGGCCCGTCCCGTTGTGACTGGGCTGCAGCCGTGCCAGGGCCTGTGGGTGGCTCCTCAGGGAGAAGGGGGACCCAGGGTGTGGCCCGAAGCCCACCACCCACCGAGGCCCACTCTCTCTCGCTTCGCCCTCTGAAGGCTGGTCTGGCTTCGTGCTTTGAAGATTTCCCTTTGAAAGGCCTTTCTGTCCTTTCTCAGGAGGCGCCCGCTTAGGGGAGGTTTATGTAACCTCGTGTCCTCGTCTTCTCTGCAGGAACAGATGGGGACCAAAGGCCGCCTCCTGCTGAGCAGCCGCGCTGGGGGGGGGGGGGTGGCGGGGGGGACTGCACGGGCGGCCTGACAGGCCGTGTCCCCGGGGTGGGCCGCCCTCCCCGAGCCCCAAGGCCCCGGGTGACTCTCTCTCTCCTTCTCCACAGCTGCCCATGATGGGAGGAGCCTTCATGGACTCGCCCAACGAGGACTTCAGCACCGAGTACTCCCTCTTCAACTCCTCCACCAACATCCACGCGGCCTCCGGCGGCCAGGGCCCGTCCGAGGAGCCCACTCGCTCCTCCAACGACGCCGTCCTGCTGTGGATCGCCATCATAGCGACGCTGGGCAACATCGTGGTGGTGGGGGTGGTGTACGCCTTCACCTTCTGAGCGGCACCCCGCGGCTCACTGCGGGCGAGGCTGGGCGGAGCGCCCACCTTCCAGAAGCAGGAGTTCCCCCCAGGGCAGGGCCCCTCCAGGGGCAGCGACCGAGCGTCTGGAACTGCCCCCCGTGGCCCTCGTTTCAAATAGCCCTGCTGTGGTCAAGCCGATCCAGAAGCCCCTGGGGACTCGATGGGGCGAGGCCGCCGAGGAGCAGGTGGGGGACTTCTTGTAACTGCTTCCCAAGAACAAGAGACTCCAAGGGACCGCCCGTCAGGCTCCCAACGCAGACATAGCGGGGCGATTGCTCCCCGGCAGCAAATAACCGCCTAGTTGTCTTGTCTCCATGCCGACTCGTCACGCCTGGGGGTGGGGTGCCGGGCAAGAGCCCCCTCAGAGCCTGAGTGTCCCCACCCCCATCTCAGCCCCCGGGGATGTGGGTGGGGGCCACGTGAAGGGCCTTGGAACATTCCTCATGTGACTTGCAGTTGGCCCCTCTGTCACCAGACACCCGGCCCCTGAGGAGACCCCAAATCGGCAGGAACCCCAAGGATGGGGGGTCGCTGGTGACACGTGGGGTTCGGGGTGGTGGTTTCCGCCTGCTGGTGGGCTTCCTCTTTTTGAAAAGAGGAGAAGGCACCTTTCCAACGGAGATCTGCCGTCGTTCCAGGCCCCACGTGAAGATGCGGGTTGTTCTCCGAGAAACCACAGAATGTGAGGTGAACCGGGCTGTGTCCGCGCAAGCACATGGGGGTCAGCGGGAGCAGGTGCGGTGTGCCTGGTCCCCCGGCCGGTCCTGGAAGGGACAGGTCCGAGGGATGTGTCCTGACTCAGCTCAGGGCTCTCACTGAGCCCTGCCTCCAGCTGGCTCCTGCCTTCTCAGCTGCCCTCGGCGACAGTATCCAGGGGGCTGCGCCAGGTGGGCAGGGCGTTCAGACACCTGCGCTGTCAGGTTGGTTCACCTGCGTGTGCTCTGCTGCTGGGGAGGGTCCTCTGCCCACGGCGGTTCCCTGCATCCTTAGACGTCAGTGGCGCCCTGGCCGGTGTGGCTCAGGGGATACAGCCACTCACCTCTGCTAGTTGAGCATGGAGCTGCTGCGGCAACGAGATGACCAGCCCGACCTTCAGACGGCGCCGGCCCATGGCCGCCAGCCCCTATTGGTCCCATCCGTCACTGCAGCCACACAGCCACCCTCAATGCTTAGCTCCGCGGAGGTCAGGGGTGCGGAGAGCTGGCGTGACATTGGAGAGGGATGTCTGGAGCCACTGACCGGGCCCTGCTCTCTGCAACACCAGCCTGGGGCCTGGGGCCTGGGGATTGGAGCCCTGAGCCTGGGGCCTGGAGCCCTGAGTGTGGGGCCTGGGGCCTGGGGATTGGAGCCGGGGGTGGGGAGGGGGAGCTGGGGCCTGGAGCCTCGAGCCTGGGGCCTGGGGATTGGAGCCGGGGACTGGGGACTGGGGATTGGAGCCCTGAGCCTGGGGCCTGGAACCCTGAGCCTGGGACCTGAAGCCTCGAGCCTGGGGCCTGGAGCCCTGAGCCTGGGACCTGGAGCCTCGAGCCTGGGGCCTGGAGCCTCGAGCCTGGGGGCCTGGAGCCTCGAGCCTGGGGCCTGGAGCCTTGAGCCTGGGGCCTGGAGCCCTGAGCCTGGGGCCTGGAGCCCCGAGCCTGGGGCCTGGGCTGGCTGTCAGCCACAGTGTGCCCGCCGTCAAGCCCCAGGGCTGCCCATGAGGAAGGCCTTTCTTAGACGGAGGGCCCGAGGCGGGGGTCCGACCTGGGATGGGGAGACCAGGCGGTGCCACCTTCAGTGGCCGGTGGCACATCCAGGGCACACTTACACCAGCCCTGAGTGTGCAGAGGTCGTTTCACAAGGTGTGGCCTGGACCGGCTCTAGCTGGCACAGGTAGAAGTTTCCGGCTCCTGGGAATGGGGCACGCGCATGCCCCTGCCCGGGCCCTCTCTCTGCCAGGCTGCACGGGGAGATCGGGAGCCTGCCCCCCCTTTAGAGCTGAGCACAGCCTCTGTGTGTGGCCAGAGTCCGGCTTTCCCAGGATGCATGCAGAGGGGAGCCCCGAGGGCCCCAGAGGGTGAGACTCAAGCAGCCAGAATCGTGTGAAGGGTGTGGGACGGTCCGGGTGGCGTGCTGGGTCTGGCCAGGCCTCAGGCCTCCTGCTGCCCCCCGGGCCCCCGAGCAGGGCCAGGTGCTCTCTCAGACCCCAGCCTGGGGCGCCCTTTTGGGCTTCTGGGTGAGGGGCCAGAGCCCCCCTGGACTCCAGGAGTCAGTGCTGAGAAGGAGGGGCCGGCCTCTGCAGCGGCTGCTCCTCGGAGAAAGGGCCCTGCGTTTTCTGGAATGTTCTCTGCACACTTTAACCCCGAGTCCCTTTTGCGAGCTGTAGGTGTCCCACACGGGCCACGTTTGTGTGAGGGGCCCCCCGGTGAGCGAGCAGCGCCTGCTGTGCGAGGCCGTGAGTCCGGTCGGAGGACACGTTAGCCTGGCGTGTCCTAAGGGGATGCCACCCCTGTGGGGGCCTGGGCACGGTGACCGCTCTGCCGGCTCCTGCTCTGTCACACTGCCCCTCCCCCTTTCCCTGAGGTCAAGGTCACGAGGCAAATGAGACCCCTGACCCTCCCCACCCCCTTTTGGCATCAGCACCGTCGGGATCTGAGGAAGGGCCAATGTGCCCCTTGGCTGGAGTGGTGACAGGCACGTGCCGCCAGTTCTAAATGGATGGCCTGAGCACCTGCCGGCCGCTAGCATAGGTTGCCGCTCTCCCGATGCCTCCGGGCTCCTGCCTGGCCGTGGTTCTCCACCGGCAGGGCCTCGCCCCCCCCCCACCCCCCATCAGTGGTGATGCTATGAACAGTGACCCTCCCCGCTGTCGTCCGCATCCCCCTGTGCTGCGTGCCGTGTGCAGCTCGTCCACTCCTCCAGCCTCGCCCGGGGCAGGTGTGTGATGCGGAGAAAGGCCTGGTCATCGTGACTGTCCACTTCCCTGCCCCGAACCCTCAGCTCAGGATGCGCTTGGTCCCCCTCTGCGGGCGGTACAGGCTGGGGGCCCTGGTGTCGCCCTGTATCCACACCCTCCTGAGTGAGCCCCCGAATGTCCTGTCCCAGGCCGGCCTCTGGCTGGGCCACGTCACCCCCGAGGAGGACCTCGTGTCCATCCCCGGAAAGGCGGCTTGGTCAGCGTGTTCGCCAGTCCCCAGCCAGGAGGCCTCCGAGCGCCTGCCGGGACCTGTAATTCTGCGAACGGCAGCTTGGGGCACACAGTAGGTTAGTGGGGGAGCTCTCAGGCGGACACCTGGGCAAGGCACCCCCTCCTGCATGCTGGGTGACCCTGGGTTAACAGCC